TTATTAATTTAAATTATAAGAACATTATTATGATTCTATTGTCAAAGACTTTATTTCAATAATCACAGATTTCGCCGAGACTACACTACAATTTGACCACAGACTAAACAATAACAAAGGTTTGACAGTAAACAAAAAATATATATATGCGTGTGTGTCTCAAATACGTGGTAGTGTGTATAATGATTTTTTATTGATTTAATGTACTTTTTATGCATAATTAAAAAACAAAATTAGGACTCTGCACTCCTTCTCTATATTCTCTTTAAGTGTGGGAAATTTCATAGTCCTCCGTCCATGCAGTTTTCGTAAAAAGGGCTACCCAGTTTTTGCTTCACGTAATAATATATAGATAAAAGTACAAAATAGCAAAGAGGGTATAGTATGACTATCAATCTAGTTTATACAAAGTAAAAATGTTGTAGATCCACATCGTGTTCCTCGTTTCATCTTGCAACTCACTTGATTTTGATTGATGAGCCAACTTGCTAACAAAATCAACTTGTTTACTTTCATGCTCGTACGTTACGGAGTTTCGTTCATCAAATTGTTCGGAAGTTGATTATTTTTAAATTAGAAATTAATTTACGGTGTAATCATTGCTTAGTGAAAGTTTTGTTATTTATTCGCACGGCAGGAAGCGGGAAAAGTTGCTAAAATCGTGATAAGAACTTACAATTAATTAATCCAAACAATTTTTCTAGTAGAACATGTCCAGGATACGATTGATTGAAGATAAGTTAAATAATAGATATGAAGATAAATAACTAATTATTGAAATTACTAAATAAAAATACGTCTTTTGGGTTTCGCAGCCGCAGGAGAAATGCTTAAGGATTATAAATAAATCCAATCAGTATGTTTGTATGTCACGAAGAGCTTTTACTAGGTATCGGCAGAGAATGTTTAAACTATTGTCCATCTGTACCAAAATTATTTCGAAGCACAAAATGAAACAAATAGTCAAGTTCACACAGAAATATGTAGTAGTTAGTGTGTCCTTAGACAGTTATTATTATAGTATTGTAATATCGGGTATCCAGTAATATCCTATGAATATCCAATAATTATAATTAAGACCACCATTAAACTATCATACTATTTTATTTTACTGTTCTAAAGTTTTAAATAATTTACAGAATTTACTTAAGTCAGTAGGCAGTGTGATCTACGAATCACAATAAAAGAAATACTCAATATTAAGTGATTTGAATACTAGTGATTTGAAAGCTAATATAGTAAATAAATGATTAAAACTGTTTTCACAGTTTTCTTGGTCACGGAAGACGGACGATAATAGAATTTTTAGTTACTAAACGGAGATCTTAGAAGTTATATCTCAAAGTTGGTTATCATTTACGCTGTAGATGTCTGTGGGCTCCAGTAACCACTTAATACCAGATTGACTGTGTGAGCTCGTCCACCCATCTCACCAATAAAAAAAAATCTTAATTATATCTACGACTCGCAAAAATTGAGTCGAAATTTCATAAATGCTAAGCGGTGCATCAATTAAAATTGTTAGCTGTCCGTTTTAAACACGTTCAAGGTTTAGTGATAGTGAATCATCTAAGCTTGTTTTTGTGCTAAGTTTGATGATCTTTCTACAACTGTCAGGTTTTTTTTTGCCAACTCAACTTCAGCTTGAGTAGAAGGCGAGCTTACGGGGCTCAACCGGACAGCGGTTGGTAACATCTGGCCTAGCAAGAGCAGTGCTTCGATTAATCTATCACCGGATCGGAATTGCAACCCACTGAGAAGATCTAGCAAGAAACTCAGTGGGGCTTAAGTTGCACGCCAAACTGTTCGTCGCATTTGACGAGAATACTGACCGTACTTGGATTGTCCAAATGTACAGAGAATGGATCTGGAGGATTCGAAATGACATGTTTACGGTGACGGCAGCTGTGTGTTACTCCGTCGCCTGCGCTTGGTAAACTGTTAGTAATGTATGCAGTACAATGTTTCACCAATGTAAATAACGGCCAGTTTTTTTGGCTTAGGGAATTTAGAGAAGCTCACAGTGTGTTTAATGTTAATCGGTGCTTAAAGACATAAAAGCTAACGCCCACCTCAATCTCAGTCAAAACGTTTACTTTGAAAAATCAGAGAAGTACTAATCACTTCTTTTTCCTACCTGTTTTGATAACGTAGGTGAGCTCACGGGGTTCTAACCACCGTATTACCATTCGTTCCGCAGGATCGGGTATGAACCAATCACAAAATTATACGTTAGTTAGCAAAATATTCAAATGGCGTCGACGTATAATAGTGTAAAAGATAGTAGTTTAAGCCGTAAAAGTAGGTAGTGTTAATTATAGTAGAATAATATGAATAATTTATTGATACTTCTAGTGTTTCTAGTAGAACTGGAACTATTGTGATTCTAGTATAGTTATGACGGCAGCTTACGGTATCCACTTGAGATTAGATGGACCACGATTTATTCTGTGTATATTCAGTTATGAGAAGTACATAAATGTTTAATTTTTCATTAGTTAGTACTTTTCTTACTAATCTAATCTTAATGACCCTTACAAATTTCGAAAAGCTTTATTAAATAATTTGGTGTTTAAAAGCTAATAGAAATGAAATTTATAAATAATATCATTAAATATAATTCGACGAATAATGACAAACTGAAATCTGTTACTGAACCATCAAATACCAAGACCAGTGATCAGGTAAAAAGGCAAATTTTCCCGATTTGATTTTCAATACGCGGTGCTTTTCTCTCGTCGTGGAAGTAATTCGCGAAGGCAAATTAGGTATCGGCATAATTTTAGCATTTAAATGCTGCCTCAGTACTAAACTACGGCATGATCTCACGAGTACGGCGACTGCGTTATCTCATAGATACATCTGTAAAATGACTTGTTCACGATATTTCGAACACAAATGTTTGAATTACGGGAAGAAGTTCTCTGGGTCAATTTGAACCTTGAGAACGTGTTCTCAAAGTAAAACCTTTAGAAAGTGAAAATATTTATCGGCCTTTTGTTTGGTGTGGATTTTCTTTTAGTGCAGTTTCTATGTTAAAGAAAGTTCTTCGACTTGACATTGTTTTTAGACATACTATGAAATCGAAATTGCTAATTTTGCTTTCAATAAAAACTGCTTTATATTTAATTTTATTGAAATAATGGGCGACACTCCTCTGAACTACTCTAGTATTAAGTGGAAACCAGATTCCATAGACATCACAACGTGAATTATGGAGCCTCATATGTCAAGCAAATGAGGTCTAAGTCTTAATTGAAATATAGGATAGACGGACCGCCTCCCAGTGCTAGTACATACTACCAGTAATAACAAATGTATATTTGACTTTTATAACACGATGATATTCAAACATGGTGGAAGTCAATCGTGAACAGTTGCATCGCTCGATATCGGTAGACTGGTACAGCCTTTCTTTACGTTGAGGCGCGACGACTTCTTGCTTAACGTACTAGTGTTAAAGCACAATGGAATCCCACACCGGGTGCCACAATTATGTCAATGTCTATCAACCCGGTGCCGAAAATGCCGCAGTGACACAAAGTTGGATCTAATAACCGTAAATAGCATATAACTCCATTGTATAGTGACCTATTTAATTATTTAACCCATTAGAACAAACTCTTTAATGAGGAGCTGGGCACGTGTACGAAATGAAAGCAAAATTCTGTAGGGTCGTTTCTTTGAAAAGAGATCTAAATTTAGATTCTTGTAGGATATCCTAACAAGTCCTCTTAAATCTGATATATTTTGTCAATGTTAGCAATGTTAAGCAATGAGTAAACTAATCTCTCTCAGAAAGATTGAAATTGATGAATACGAAATTGGCAGCCCTGAAGTCGTTTTCATTTCGTTTTAAACGTATGTAATTTACCGTAAATGCCCTATTGGAATCATACCGCACATCGCATAATGGCCCTTCACTGTCGCTACAACACGATTTGTCGTGTAAATCTGTAAATTGGTGTGAAACTGTACAAATTGCGGCTTTCTCGGGCTGTCGACAAAGCGCCCGCGAAAACAATTTATTTTTGTTTAAGGGAAAGCGTCTTATATTTCTTGTTTTGAAAAATTACTCACACATGTAACGTACATATTGTTTTCTAGGTATATCTAAATTGTATGTGAACAGAACTCCTTTTCTTGTGACAATTTTCTTGTACAGGTAAATTCTGTTAACTGGCTTAACATTGCAATGTTTTTTTATATCCTGTTTAAAAAAATAGAGAATTGAGTGAAGAATTTTATTCTACCTAGAAAGGTAGAATAAAAAATATAAATATAAACGCTTTTACGTTAAGCAAGATATTTTAGGGAAATCTGCGATTCACGCAAATATGTGATGCAACTTTAATTGGATAATTTTGTACTAAATCCGCCAGGGAATGTATACGGATATTATCCATATGAACTTTCCATCTCATACGGATTATGTAAATGGATATTAATCGGAGATTGTATATTAAAAGCGCAACAAGGCGCCCCGAGCTCGTTAGGCATCGTGAGACCCAAATTGCTTAGTGTAGTTAGCTCATAATTTCATGTCACATATTTAAGATAATCGATGTGAGGTTACATGTAGATCTTCCATCAAAAGAGTATCTGTTGATTCGCTCCGATATTGTGCATAATAAGTCACCAGATGATGACCGAGCTTTGTTCGAATTTTTTTTTTGATAGCGCCATCTTGTTGTCTTTAAAGAAGTTAGTTGCTCTCAATTAAGAAAAAATGTATTAATATTCGCCAATAGATGTCGGGAAGAGTCATAAAGTTGATTATCGATAAAGTTGATTATTGAAAACACGAATAAAAAAATATTTTCTAAAAATAAATCGTAGCTTGATCGATTTATCGCCCCCGAAATTCCCTGTATACTAAATTTTATGAAAATCGTTGGACCCTTTTCCGAGATTCAGATTATATAAGTATATACAACAATTGCTCATTTAAAGGTATAAGATTCGACTCAAGCTAAACTACCTTTTCTTTTTTCTAGGCTTGTCCTGCGATCACCCAGCACAAGAGTACCAAGAGACGCGGACAAGAAAATGTGACCACCGACCAAACAACCAAAACGAAATGCAAGCTATATATTCATGAGTCTTGGCACAAGATTACATGATTGCAGCCTATTTATATGTACTTATAATATAAAACAAATCTAGTCGCATTAGCACTATTTAAAAAAAGCATTTTAGAGTTTACGATAAAAGGAATAAGATCGAAGTACAAACAGATGAGATGTACAAAATCTGGGGGCGCTAATGTTGATTTAATTAATAAATTGATTTGATTAGCAGTTCCCGGAAACCAACAAAATGTCTGCAAGTAAGTATTCAGCAACTTTTAAGTAAAGTATTTTTTATAAACTGACATAGAACTCTCTCGATGGACTTGGCCCTCTTTGCTCAGAGGAATATCAGTATCGGTGCTTTTAGGGGCACTTGTGTTCTCAAGGGACATAGTTACTGCGGAGTGTAGCTAGCTATATTTTGTTTTTTGGAAGCGAGTCGATGCTAAACTGCCTTTACTGTGCCAGTGATCTCTTACTTCACCGACCTACAGGTACTACCGAGCCTAAAGCCTTGGAGCCTAAGCCTGGGAAAGAGCGGTACACCCACTGAAATTCTGACTTAGGGATCGATAAGCTTAACTAGAGGTCGCGTTATTTCCCGCGTCTGCTTGCACTTCACAATAATGGTTAAAATATTATTGATAATGTGTTTGTTGTTGGTCATGTTCCAGGTTTTGAACACACCGCTATGAAGAGCAGTTTCTCGCTGTCGTCACTGAGGAGCGCGCCCGCGCCGCCCGGCGGACCATGCGAACAACTCGAGCGGCCTTACCATAGCCTCACTAAGAAGAGGTACTTTAGTCATATTCCATTTTTGTACTACTTATTGTAGGACCTCTTGTGAGTCCGCGCGGGTAGGTACCACCACCCTGCCTATTTCTGCGGTGAAGCAGTAATGCGTTTCGGTTTGAAGGGTGGGGCAGCCGTTGTAACTATACTGAGACCTTAGAACCTATATCTCAAGGTGGGTGACGCCGTATACGTCGTAGATGTCTATGGGCTCCAGTAAACACTTAACACCAGGTGGGCTGTGAGCTCCTCCACCCATCTATACAATAAATAAATAAAAACTTTATTTATAGAGTTAAAATTGCTTCTTTCAATCAAATTTTAAGATCATTCAAAATTAATAGATTTTTAAACCACAATGTTGGGTCGAATGGAATGGAATGGATTGGGCTTTAATGTCCTTTGCTCAACAAAATGCGTGATTACTTCGCGGCACAGACATGAATAGTAGTGCTATCCACCGGTGGGATCAGCACATAAGATTTGAAACTAGGTCGTTGAAGATTAGGGAGTTTCAGATGCTACGAATGGATGAAGGGAGTCCTAAAAAAGGCGTAGAAGGGTCTGGTTGTACCTTCTATTTAATAACTTCATAAGTTTAACCATTAAACCGAAAATCAACGAAACAAATGAAAATGAAGAAGTAGTCATTGAAAGAACTATATTCTAAAGTTAATCCAGTTTTTTTTTAATTGCCGTATAGGCAGACGAGCATACGGCCCATCTGATGGTGAGTGGTTACCGTCGCTTATGGACGTCAGCAATGCCAGGGGCAGAGCCAAGCCGCTGCCTACCGCTTAATACTCTCCACAAGCCTCGTTTGAAGAAGGACATGTCATAGCGCTCAGGACACACCGTGTTTTTTTTTTATTTATTGTTTAGATGGGTGGACGAGCTCACAGCCCACTTCGTGTTAAGTGGTTACTGGAGCCCATAGACATCTACAACGTAAATGCGCCACCCACCTCGAGATATAAGTTCTAAGGTCTGAGTATAGTTACAACGGCTACCCCACCTTTCGAACCGAAAGGCATTACTGCTTCACGGCGCAAATACGCGGGGTGGTGGTACCCACCCGTGCGGACTCCAAAGAGGTCCTACCACCAGTGATTACGCAAATTATAATTGTGTTGTAATGATTGCAGGAAGGAGCCGTGTAGAGAAGCCTGGCGCCGGAGTTGGGGCTCGACAGCGAGTGGCTGCAGCGCCGGCGACGATCTATGGCCGCTACTGCAACGACACTACGACTACATCATGGATAACCAGATCATCGACAGTTGCAAGGTAATAACCCAATTTCTCACTGGTGTTGATGTCTATGGGATTGGTTAGTCCGCTGATCACGCGATTCCGATCCGGTGGTAGATGCATTATCGAAGCAGCTGCTCTTGAGCTGTTGTGTCTGCCCTGGGGGCGTTGGAGCAGCTGCTAGCAAATCCCACCCCTCCTAATTGATCCGCGCTCGCCAGCCTGTCCTAGTGAAACTGGAAAGAACATAGGGCTGCCAGTAATCCTTAATTCCGAAAAAAAAACATAAATTAAATACCGTTACTAAACTAACTAAGCTAAGCTAGTCAAGGCTAGTTCATAAAATGATACTGGAAATAAATGATTGAAGACTAGTTTCACTGACGACAAGGCGAGTGGAAAACAAATATTTGTTAAATGTTAAAATTAATATCATGAGTCTTCATAATAGCTTTAAGGCAACGTCTCCCGTTACACCACAGAATTGACAATTTGTAATCATATAAGAAAAAAAAGGTCTGTTGTTAAAATTTCTATTCCTTTCAACACCTTCAGTTTGACGTTCATGTTCATAGTTTCGAAATGGTATCACCGATTTGGATAAGGTTTTTTAATAACTCCACCCTGGTTGCCTAATTCGAACCATAGAACTTTAGAGACATAGAAATGTAAGCATACTAGCTGTACCCGTCCGCTTCGCTCTGGGCATTTAAAATTAACATTATTATTTCTCACCCCCACAAAGATTCTCATCAGTAACACCCCCGCAACTGGTCTAGGGAGTCCAACACTCATATAAATATTAGCCTATCCATTAAGTAACTGTATTTTCTACCTGGATACCAAGTTTCAAGTCAATCGGATGCATGGTTCAGTAGTTATAACGGAACATCCGTAAAAACCACTGTAGATTTATATATTAGTATAGATTTAATGTGTCGCGAACTTATTTTGTACGAACATTTTACTTCGCAGGAAGCAAACGGCGAATTACTATCACATAATCCGTCAGCTTTGCTGTCTGGTCCGTGTCTACTGAACCCAACATCGGGGTTCAACAGACAGTGGTCGCTGAATCAGCTCGTATCCGAATTCGACGAGCTCTGCCAGTGGCTGACTCACGTGCAGGAAGAAATATATTCTAGTCCCGAGAATTTGTCTAACTGGAAGCTTAGAGCGGTAAGCTAATTTTAAAATTGAATATGCAATTTCGAAAAGGGCACATGTCGCATATATTGTCAAATACGTTTTTTTCATATACATGTAGTTTTGAGGCTTACCTACACCCATTTTATAATAATTCCAGTAATTTTCAATTGCTATTTAAAACTAAAATATATCTCAAAAGTTAATATTTTAAATTTTACACTGCTTTAGAAAATAATCAGTTTTTTTCATTTCCTGAAAATTTTACATTTTCAGAGATGTGCCCTTTTCGAAATTGCATATTCAATTGGAAAGTGGGGAAACCAGAACTGATTTTAAGCAAAGCTGGGTGACAAAAGCGCTTATTTTTGTTGACTAATATGTGAATGTAGTTGGTATGTGATTGTGTTTCTCTCATGTTGAGTGCCGTGAGCTTACATACCCGTCCGCACGTAGTTTGAATAGCCTCTTATGTTATGAAAGACTAAGAGTAAGGAAAAAAGAATATGTGCAAGTTGCATGTGTATGCTCGTGTTTCCTGACTGCACTTTTTAATTTCAAAGAAATAATTGATTGAATGATGGAATTTATATATTAATACATTAATACGTGAAGCAAAATTTTGTTCCCATTTTAAGGAAAATTGCGCCGTCGGCTGATTCAAAATTTTCCTACACTTATAGAGAATAGAGAAGTACCGTAGAATGTTAATATTTTATTAAATTATGCATTTAAAAAGGCAAAGGCTTCGCGGATTTTGTCAGCATTATAATACATCGGACTTTTTTATTTTTTATTTATTGCTTAGATGGGTGGATGAGCTCACAGCCCACCTGGTGTTAAGTGGTTACTGGAGCCCATAGACATCCACTACGTAAATGCGCCACCCACCTTGAGATATAAGTTCTAAGGTCTCAGTATAGTTACAACGGCTGCCCCACCCTTCAAACCGAAACGCATTACTGCTTCACGGCAGAAATAGGCAGGGCGGTGGTACCCACGCGCGCGGACTCACAAGAGGTCCTACCCCAGTAAAAAATGCTTCGCGGATTTTGTCAGTATTATATATCTGGTGCTTGATTTGTATCATGTTTTGAATTTTGATACCGATTAAACGTGACTTTATGCAGAATCGTATGGCAGAATTGGTGGCGGTCGAGCCGCGGCGTGCGAAGTTCGTTGAACAAGCGAATGCTATACTGGAGAGGATACCTGAAGCCAACGGAGAGGTAATTAAAATTAGTGTTAATCTGAATAATGCTTACTGCCTAACAATCTTAAAGCTCAATTTCTCGTGCAGGCTATTGAATGAATTTTACCCGCAACTGTACGTGTCTAACTACGCATGGATGTTATGGAATGTTTCAATTTAATTTTCAGCAACGTCTAATTGTTTCAGCATCACGAGACTTGCCAATATTATGTACTTCATAAATAAAATACTTTTATATGTAATTGAGCTGGTCCGTTTCGGCTCTTAACTATATACGGTTCAGCCCTCTTGGCTCCAAAAAACAAGGCTCGAAGTTCTTAAAAGCCAATAACTCTCGTCTCAGCCTGTTTGACATCTGTCAGAATTTTATCGGAATTAATGGAACGATAGAGGAATATTTGGTTAATAGAGAAACAAATGAAAAACTTTTTAACTTTATTACCTTCGGAGATAATGATGGTTCTTCTTATGACCCATTATATCGTTTTTCAGACCCCGTTAATAGTACTTTGGCATAATAAATTGCCTTAAAGGGACTTGATTCCAAAGCCAGATAATACGGTATCTGTACTTAATTATTATCGAGCTGAAGAGTTTGTTTGTTTGAACGCGCTAATCTCAGGAACTACTGGTCAGATTTGAAAAATTCTTTCAGTGTTAGATAGCCCATTTGTCGTGGAAGGCTACAGGCCATATAACATCACGCTAAGACCAATACAAGCGGAGTACCAATAAAGAATACTTCAAAATCGTTTTTTTCACTTTTGAGAGCTTTCGCTGCGTGCGCTGCAGAAACGGTTAAAGTTTCGCTAAAATAATGTATGACAGAATTGTTCCCCTTTAAAACATCTAAAAAAAAGTCCGCGACAGCATATTGTATGTTATGGTTGGCTCACTATAACGTTTTTTATGCTAACCAAATTTTTTCTAAAATAAAGCATTATTTGTGAACTATTCCACGCGGACAAAGTCGCGGGCAAAAGCTAGTAATAGATAAATCCAGAAACGCACTGTTGATTAGCGCAGGGGTTTCAAGGAGTAGAGATGAAGTTCCTTCACAACACGTGTTTTGTTCAGGTGACCTGGCGTATTGAGCACTTGAGGATCAAGTGGGAAGCCCTTCGTCTGCTGCTCAGTCCGGAACAACCGCATCTTGACGGCGAGAATCCTGATACAGTTGGTAGGTGTAATCAAACATAGTCCCAGTTATTATTGTAATAATTAAATACAAAAGTACACTGTTATTGGTAGCGCGGCTTAGGAGTCTACACGAGTAGGTACTACCCTGCCAATTTCTGCTATTTTATTTTTTTATTGCTTAGATGGGTGGACAAGCTCACAGCCCACCTGGTGTTAAGTGGTTACTGGAGCCCATAGACATCTTCGACGTAAATGCACCACTCACCTTGAGATATAAGTTCTAAGGTCTCAGTATAGTTACAACGGCTGCTCCATCCACCGAAACGTATTACTGCTTCACGGCAGAAATGGGCGGGGTGGTGGTACCTACCCGTGCGGACTCACAAGAGGTCCTACCACCAGTACACAGCACACCAGTGCCCTTGAGAAGTAATGCATTTCGGCTTCAAAACCTTTGACTTAGAATTCGTGTCTCGAGGTGAGTGGCGGCATTTACTTTGTTATTTTCTATGGGAATCGGTCACCACTTAACACCAGATGGGCCGACAGCTCGTGCAACCAACCATCTTAGCAATATATAAAAATACAAATGTGTTTGTTTCTTTGTTTTTTTTTCACGCAGCAAAGGATCAACGGACCGACATCATTTATTGCAAAAAGAAAGCCGGTGATATGGGAGCACGTAGGTTATTTTATATCTCTGAAAAATGTGTATTTCAATGTTTTAAAATTTAAACTAATTTTAACTGGTGAAACCGCGATGCTAACGTAGTGATATATGTAGGTAAATCTATCTAATTAAATAAGTGGTTTTGATGTTTATAAAGACATTTACAATTGCATTACAGAATTACAAAAAAATTAAGATGCTCAAATTATTATGAGTTCATAACCAAAGTTTAAAAAATCAATATGTAAAAGACTAGCGTCATTTAAAATTGAAAGTTAATTCACCGATAGCGCCATCTATCTAAAACTACGTAAACCACTACGTGTCACTTATGTTACTCTGTATAAATGTTGTGTTGTTGTCAGTAGATGGCACTGCAACAAGAATTAGTAAAATGTGTAAGTTCTCTACCAGTAGTTATATGCATATGAAATCATTATTTTATACAAAACTCTGACCCTTGCTCAATGCAAACTGAGAAAAAAATTAAGTTTGTAATCACAGTACAGTCTTATAGGTGCTACTTTTAAACATGGTCGCCCTAAAAGCGCTGAGCTGAATACAACTTTTTCTGCAGACACCGCCCACGAGCTACGTTGCCTTCGTAGATGGTTGCACAGCATGGAAGGCCGCCTTCCACCACCCTCGCTTGCTGCAGCCCGCTCAGCCTCCCATCACGAGCTACTCAGGAAATTGAGAGAGCACCAGGTATGAAATACATTTGTAGAAATTGTTATTGAAATTAAGGCTTAGTCACAGGTGGACGGGTGGTTTTAGTCGTGGGGTTGTGGAGACAATAGTGCTCAAAAAGCGGAGACGGAAATCCGGAAATATTCTCCTGACCTAAAATTTGAAATTCGAAATTCGCGTTGCCCATGAATAGCATGTTTGGCTATAAAAGTCTAAACTATTACTAAAATAACTGGCTTTCACACACCCTTATGTAGACCGGTATGTTCTACCCTTGATAATGGCGCGCCGGTCATCGAACCCGTCGCTTGCGACGAAGGGCTCTACGTGTAAATTAACCCATAGACACAGCCCGCTGAGTTTCTCGCCGGATCTTCTCAACGGGTCGCGATTCCGATCTGGTAGTAGATTCGTTCTAGAAGAGGCTACTCTTGAGTTGTTAGGTCTTCTTTGCAGGTGCTCAGGTAACTGTTAGCAAATCCCATCTTCCCGGCTAAGCCCTTGCTCGCCCATCTGTCCTGATAAAGCTGGAAAGGCCTCCGGGCCATTAGTAACCCTAGAATGAAAAAAAAAACTGTGTTTATCAAAATTATTCCCTAATCAGTAAAAAATTCTGTATTTAAACTTGATCTATCTCCCAAAGAACAAATTCAAAATATTCAACATAAAAGCATAATGGTGAGTCCACCAGGAGGACAAAAATCGTATATACATATGCATATATCACTGCGGTGTACTTAATGATGGGATCGGGTGTTATTTACTGATAGAAGGGCATTTTGTAAGCCCACATGGGTAGATATCATTATCCTACGCCGCGAATCCGTAATGGGTTCCGGTATCAAATGTGTCACATCCTCTGGTCTTTAGTAATCGGTAAGGACCGTAAAACAAACACCGGAGCAATGATCAGGTGTCAATTATAATTACAGCCTTTGTTATATTTTGTTTGTCTGTCAATTTAAAATACGTACTTGACCGAATTAAGGAAATCAAGATGCCGTCGCTGTAGTATGTTTTGAATTACGATTTGAGATTATTTCTTATTCAATAATGCTTGAAATAACAAATGATTATTACCATACTGGTTGTATCGGACATCCTTTCTGGCGAACAAGGATTCGATACCGTGTCTCAAAGGCAGCGGCATTCCCGTTGTGATTAATGTCTTTTTTTTATTGCTTAGATGGGTAGAAGAGCTTACAGCCCACCTGGTGTTAAGTTGTTACTGGAGCCCATTGACATCTACAACATAAATGCGCCACCCACCTTGAGATATAAGTTCTAAGGTCTCAGTATAGTTGCAACGGCTACCCCACCCTTCAAACCGAAACGCATTACTGCTTCACGGCAGAAATAGGCGGGGTGGTGGTACCTACCCGTGCGGACTCACAAGAGGTCCTACCACCAGTAAAAAGCTGTCTGTAAGCTCTTTTAGCAATTTCACACTTGGAGAGCTTACTGAAGACTAATCCACTAGCGTAAACCTGACGTAACGAAACACTGCTTAGCTTACGTCCTATTCGTGTCACAAAGTTTTAACGCTAGTGCAATGCACTTTGGTTAGTCCCACACGTGGACCGTAAACACGTCCGATCATCTACACAAATCTCTTTCCTTCAGGACGGTATTGTTTATTTTTTTACGAGTCGTAGACATAATTATAATTAGTCTTTTACTGGTTCTAGACGTCGGAAATAATAAAATGAGGATAATAAATGCGAGATTAAACCGTAAAGGTTAATTATAGACGAATTTTATTTTAAGTTCCTGGCCAAATTCAAAATATATCTATAAAATAACTAGCTGACCCGGCAGACTTCGTAATGCCTCAATCGAGAAATAAAAGACCTAAACTTTTGTATAAAATAAACTTAAAACAAGGGAAACCGTCCGACGGGGGACACATCAAAGGAAAAACAAAACTGTTATTTTTATTTAATTGCGATGATTTTCATATTTATCTACCTTTTAAACTTTCTCTGGATTTCCACAAATAATTCAAGACTAAAACAAGCCAAATCGGTCCAGCCGTTCTCGAGCTTTAGCGGGACTAACGAACAGCAATTCATTTTTATATATATAGATTGTAGATAGTTCCCATTACGTTTATTCCGATATATGAACTCCGCCTATTATTTAAATAACTCACTGTCAAATATCCCTTAGGCCAGAGGTCATCATTCACGCATCGGACCGAAATCACAGTACAAATTACTCTTATCAGATAATTCAACTTGATTGACTAATGCAAAATTCTGTTAAACGCTTTCTAAACACTTCATTTTCGAATACAACTCTAATACTTGAAGCGTACGGTCGAGTTTTGCTGGAACAGTTCTCAATTCTAGCGAGGTCGGTGGATTGACACGACTATCAGTTATGTGAAGCCATCGATCTTCGAGTAATAGCTTCGTGTAGTCTTCTGTAATGAATGGGTTGTTGTGCTTTGTATGAACATNAAAATTCTGTTAAACGCTTTCTAAACACTTCATTTTCGAATACAACTCTAATACTTGAAGCGTACGGTCGAGTTTTGCTGGAACAGTTCTCAATTCTAGCGAGGTCGGTGGATTGACACGACTATCAGTTATGTGAAGCCATCGATCTTCGAGTAATAGCTTCGTGTAGTCTTCTGTAATGAATGGGTTGTTGTGCTTTGTATGAACATTAAAGATATAGTTGGAGTTTTTTGGAAGACCAGTTCACTGGTAGTGGTAAGTGTTAAGCGATTACTACAATCTGTAGACGTTAGGTCGAAATCTCGACACCATTAAGTCACCTTATCCCACTCTTCAAACATAAAATTTGGGTTAATTCTCGACAGACATATTCAGGGATTTTTTTATTGCATAGATGGGTGGACGAGCTCACAGCCCGCCTGGTGTTAAGTGGTTACTGGATTCCATAGACATTTACAACGTAAATGCGCCACCCACCTTGAGATATAAGTTCTAAGATCTCAGTATAGTTACAACGGCTGCCCCACCCTTCAAACCGAAACGCATTATTGCTTCACGGCAGAAATAGGCAGGGTGGTGGTACTTACCCGTGTGGACTCACAAAAGGTCCTACCACCAGGGTTGTCCCAATCGGTGCGACCCATATTGACGTTTTCTGCTGACAGTGATATGGGTTTTTTATATTGCACTAGATGGGACGTAAGAGCCCGCGTTAAGTTGCTTCATGCCGTAAATTGGTAAGATGACGGTTCCGTGCGGGTTCGCACGCGCCTTACACATTATAGCCTCATAAACAAAACTCACTGAGTTTTTCGCCGGATCCTTTCAATAGGTCGCGATTCCGATCCATTGGTTGATACTGCGAAGCGCTGCTTTCGCTAGGGCTAGTGTTAGCCAATTAGCCCAGGTTGAGCCCGTGAGCTTCTTAGTCTACCGGCGAATAGGTAGGAAACAAATTGCCCTAAACCTAAAGGCACTGTGTGACTAACATAGACTAAATAAACTGCATAGCATTGCACGGGCATCTGTCGTAAACCTAAAATAACTAATAATTACAAGTTAACTTTATCGACTTTTTTATATCTCTATACGAACTCAATGTTTCTTATAAAAATTAATTTGTTTATATTGGTGTTTGGTTATAAATTTATGTGCCTCGTTAGCGCAGGAAGGATAAAAAATAGCCGATTTTAGTGAGCAATAGGCAGTGCAAGTATGAGGATTACAATATACGCGAATCGGTCGCTGTGCCTGTATTGAAAACAAAAAATTAAGTTCATAATATCGGATCCGCTTTCATATTAAATATTGCATACATTTTTATTGCTTCGTTGGTCTTATGGTTAGTAACCCCGACCACTGAACGACGTAGGTAAGTTTTGATTGCCGATCGGGGTAAATCTATAATTAATAAATATTTCGATGTCGGTGTGTACTTTTGTTTCTTTTTCTTGCATAAACGGGTAAACGAACTCACGGCCCGTCTGCTGTTAAGTGGTTACTATAGAACATCTCTCATACCGGAGAAACCTTAGGCCTCGAATACCCAAAGATCATTAATAAAGTCGCTCTGGAGTCGATACCAGTTCCACGGTGCAAGTTTTAAAGATACGAGACTGCATATGTAAGTGTAATCACAATACTGGTGGTAATTACAACATATTTACTGGCGATAGGACGTCTTGTGAGTCCGCACGGGTAGGTATCACCACCCTGCCGGTTTCTGCCGTGAAGCAGTAATGCGTTTCGATTTGAAAGGTGGGGCAGCCTTTGTACTGTAAAAACTGAGAGACCTTAGAACTCATATTTCAAGGTAGGTGGTGGCGTTTACGTTGTTGATGTCTATGGGCTCCGGTAACCGCTTAACACCAGGTGGGCCGTGAGCTCGTCCACCTACATATGCATATATATAAATAAATGAGCAATTGTTGAGGGAGATAAAGTAACGGGCAAGTTAGGTTTTAGGTACAACATTACTGTAAAAACTGAGAGACCTTAGAACTCATATTTCAAGGTAGGTGGCGGTATTTACGTTGTAGATGTCTATGGGCTCCGGTAACCGCTTAACACCAGGTGGGCCGTGAGCTCGTCCACCTACATAAGCGTACATATAAATAAATAAACAATTGTTGACGGAGATAAAGTAACGGGCAAGTTAGGTTTTAGGTACAACATTCATTAAAATCGCACAGTTTTCCATTACTACTAATCTTCTCGAATCAACAGCATCGCTAAACGAAATATCCGAGTCACGGAATCGTGCCGCTTACATTAAAACATAAACCAGATTAAAAGCGGTATATAGATACAATTTCTCATCGGAGATATTGTAATATGAACGGAAACCACCCGGGAACAGATACCATGGAAGTAACATGTATTCGAATGGAACAGTCATTTTAATATATTCCTGGTGAAAATCGTTTTATGATAATGAAACTTATGGTTTTGAAATTTAAAGATAAAGGTATCGAATCAAACGTGACAAAGGCTACCTTCCTATTATGTTATTGCCTCGGGAAACTACACTGACACTTTTTCTTGAGGACGCGGCTG